CAAGTATCAGCTTATGCTGCTCTTCGTCGTTTTGAATGCCGGACCATTTTTACATCTCCTCCCCCTTTTAAAGCAGCGTGTTTGTTGAATATATAGGGGAAGGGAAGTGTTTGTTGAATATATAGGGGAAGGGAAGCGGTATGTAATGGCTAGAGATTATGGTCGGATTTTTAGGGGTGTAGTGGAATAGTTGAGATACGTGGTGGTTAACCATGGGGTCATTCAATAACATCTTGGCGTTGCATCGTGGACAGTAAATTCCGAGATCATGACAGTAATGATTTCTGTCTCTTGTATTCACTTTTAGCCTTTTTTTAATGCGCCCGTTGATTCCTCGAAAGTCATGAGTGTGCTTGTGCTTCTTTCAACCTCCTGAACCATCAATTGATGGGTACCGTAAAGACTCTCTGTGACGCTTTCTGCAGCAAATGTCATTCCAGATTTTGTTTGCAAATTGCGCCGACGAACTGTGGATTCTTCTCCTCCACCAAGAAGAAGTTCCCTCTTTCAGAGCAGTTTTCCTCATATTATCCTTTGCTTGCAGATTCGCATTCCTAAGGCTCATTCTTAAACTTTGGGATTGACTTTTCAAGTTCCGAGCATAGCTTTAGCAGACTGAACCTCTTCATCGTAGGAAGTTGCGGAGAGAGAAGATCGAGATTGAATTGCAATGAATTGAGCAAATTCAAACCATCTTGAGCTAACCCGTTTAATCTGGGCAATGATATTTTGTTCTTAGTTTCATTTTTTTAGTTGTCATAGGCCTTCTAGTCCATCTCCTACTGTAACCCCCTTCGATCCCATAATTGGAAGCAAGCGGCTTGAAGCTCAAATTATGTACACCACCCTGACTTATATTGTGGAGGCTTTCGCAATAAAAAAATTAGCTAAGCCATGAAACCTAACTCTGGGAGCTTGCAACATTGAAAAGCAAAAATGACGAGATCTCATCTGAATTTGATCTATAATAGGCCAAGATTTCAATGGTTGAGTTATACCGCATCAGACAAAGAATTGCCTGCAAAATAATTGTAATATATAAATTAATAGAATAATAATAATAATAATATAATAATAATATAATAATAGTAATATAATGTTTTTGTAGACCTGAAAAAAAACAGATGTCTACATAAACCTCTCTCTAGTTTCCATTATCACTCATTTGCGACGCACTTTCAAAATACAAGTCTACAATCCATGAAGAAACTTTAATCAATAAAAGATCAGGAACTCCAACAACATTTTCAGCTAAGGCTAACATAAGTTACTAGCAAACAACCATCGCATTCCTCAACTACGAAACCAAAATGTGATCAGTTCAATAAGATCTTGACATCTAGCTCAAAAATGTCAAAATATTCAAAACCGAGCTTCAATTTACCGGCAATCGGTATAAAAAAATTGCAGAGTTAAAGGAAGAACGCAGCAAATGTTCACATTTTCTCCATTAAAGATTGTTCGTAAAAGTATATCACGTTTCAGATCATCAAAGCCAAATCGAAAATATTAGATAAGATTAAAAAACAGTAAACAAAGTTTTACTAAAAATAAGACAAAAAGAAAGATCTGATCAAAATTAGAATGGACCACAAAGAGAGAGGGATCGAAGGAATATGCGGCGAGAATAGCGTAACTCTCGTGTTCGAAGCTTATAAGGGGATTTCCGCCTTTTGTGGAAGTTGTTATGGTGGCGGTATCGACAATGGCGGAAAATCAGAGGCGTGGCTGAACATGCTCTATGTGCGTGACGGTGTAAGGTAAAAAAAACAGAGACTCCGAAATAGAGTATATCATCGGTTGTTGCATTAAGAAAAAAAAAATAAGTATAGAATAGTGATTAGATCATTGGGTCTATGACTTTATTGATCTTAAGTTCAAATTTTGTTAACAAATAAAATTATTTTTGAGAAAAACAAGTTTAAATTTACACAGATCCCAAAATAAAGTATATATAAAGTATATATATCAATTTTTAAGTTAATGAAATTAGTCATTTATTACTTTAAAAAAATAAATTTCAGATCTAAAGATCTTTTTACAAGAATTTACACAAGACTTCAATAACCTAACTAAGACCCTACTGAGAATCTCATTTGTTAGTGCTGACGTGGAACAATTTGATAGGCTTGTAAAATTTAGGAGGGATGTCGGTGACGGGACAAGAGGATTTTCCGGAGATTTTTTTGTTAGTAGAATTTATGACAATGTAAAAATATAAGAGAGAGTGTTTCTGTTATTGGCTGTTTGGATGGAGGGAAAATCAGATAAGGTGAGAGAGAGAGAGAGAGAGGGGGGAGAGTGACGAAGGAAAATGCAAAAGGACGAGAAATTATTATTTTTAAACAAAAAAAAGGACGAGAAATTAATTAGAGATGGAAGAGGGAGAAATTCATGATTGTGTTGAACAATTTCTTTGAAATAATAGAATTTTAAGGATTATTTAAATGATTGATTATTTATTTTTGTATTTTATCTATTTTTATATTTTTAAAATATATAATTGTTTTAATTTAGCAAAAAGGTACTTAAGATTCATGTACTTATAAAAAAATTAATTTGACTCTCGTCCTTTTTTTTTCGATTAATGTAACTCTTTAACTCGAAAAAGAAATTTAATGTGGTTCTTTAACTAACGTTTTTCGTAATTAACCAACTACTCTGTTATTTCTTTCTGGGTAAATTATATCATTCATCACTTAACTATTTTCTTCTCTTTTATTTTGGTCACTAAACTCTAAAAGTTTTTAATTTCATATATTCTATAGATTTCAAGGACTAAAACTACAGTTAACCCATTTTATCTTGAACACAAAACCCACCACCTTCATCTCCTCTTTAACTCTTTCATCTTCTCTCCTAAACCCCCAAATTCACTTCCATTTCTTTCATTCTTCATTATTTCTTAAATCACCATGAAACTAATCAATTTGGCGGTTATACTCTTATTTGGGGTTTAGGAGAGAAATGGAAATGAATTTGGCGGTTTTGCTGTGGCGAGTTAAGAGGAGATGAAGTTAGTGGGTTTTGTGTTTGGGATAAAATGGGTTAACTACAGTTTTAGTAGGTGAAGTCTCTATAGTTTTCGAAATTAAAAATTTTTAGAGTTTAGTGACTAAAATAGAATAGAAGAAAATAGTTGAGTGATGAATAGTGTAATTTATCTGGTAGCAATTAACGGAGTCGTTTGTCAAAGGGCTACATTGGGTTCTTTTTTCGAGTTGGAGAGTCACGTTGATCGGAAAAAAGGATGAGGGCCAAATTAGTTTTTTTTTAAAGTATAGGGACCTTGAGTGCCTTTTTTCCTTTTTTAATTTTTATTTAATTAAGATGTGATTACCGCGAGTAAACTATCGTTAACAGTTAACAAATTAGCTGACGTGGCAGTTAAATATTTTGATATAATCATATATTTAGTCCCTATTATTTACATATTCTTTCAATTTAGTCTCACTTTTAATAAATTAAAAAATAATGTCACTAGTACCATGTGTCATCATTCAGTTAGAGGACTAACTTTATTTTAATTTAATATATATTTTTAAATTAAAAATAAATATATTAAATTAAAAAAAATAAAAGTTAGTCCTTCAACCAAATGATGACATGTGACACTAGTGACACATGATATCATTTGATTGGAAGATTAAATTTATTTTAATTTATTAAAAATATGACTAAATTAAAATATATAAAAACAGAGACCAAATGTGTGATTATAACAAAATACCAAATGTGTTGATACTTAAGCTTCACTTTTTGGTCCAAATAGATACTTTTGGTGAGTGTCTTATTTGAATCAATTTGAATCTTGAAGCTAAGTTTAGGTACCAATTTGAACCCAACAAACAAATTTAAGTACCAAATTATACTTGAAGTCAAGTTCAGTACCAAAATATATACAGATAAATTACACTGAGGTTACTAAACTATGCTCAAATGATCAATTTGGTTCTTAAACTTTTAAAATTTACAAAATGATCATTAAATTTATCACATTGTTATCACCACGATGTTATAATAATTTTCAAATTTTGATAAATTTAATGATCATTTTATAACCGTTCGATTGAAAATTTAATGATCAAAATAATTATTCGAGTATAATTTTGTGACTTCTAGTATACTTCACCAGGTAGAAAGAATTGTTTAGGTGGTGAAGGTAAATCAACACTAAACAAAAGCAATGGTTTCTAATTTTGTTTATGTGAGTATTTGTTCTATTAGACGATTTAAAGCAAAACTTATTTGGTTAACACACTTCAATGTGTTTATATTATCTTATTCATTCAAAGTTTAAAACACGAGAAACAATACTATTGCATAAATTATACATTTATTGTTTATTTTATTTATTATTTAATAATTTTTATTGTAACTTATAAAAATATTTTTAATGTATTTTTCTTTACATTTTAGATGCCTTTAAATTGTTTATGATATTTTTTGTATAATCATCGATATTCGATTTATTAATTGACTAATCATGACCGAATAATGTAGAAACAAAATTGTTTACAATATTCATCAATATGTAAATATTGAAGCACTAAATTTATTATTATATCAATTAAAAAAATTCACGTTATTATTAAGGTTGAAACCATTAGTAGCGACGAGACTAATGTTTTTAATATTTAATAGAAATATTAATCAATTGTGTAATTTACTCATAAGTTGATATATGATTTTTTTGCAGCTTTTGAATTATTATTATTTTTATTACAAATATAAAAAATTCCAGTTTTTAAAATCCAAAATTTTGAATTCGGTTTTCAAATACGTAAATCATAAAAATGAAATATATTTCATATCAAAATTAAATCAGTCATATATATATATATAATAAATTAATTAATCGATTTATTCGATCTGAATATACAAAACTGATCAATATGAATGTACAAAACTGATCAATATGAATGTACAATTAGAACTCTTAAGTGTCTAACATGGATACTTGCAAAAAAAATTAATACCGCTGCAATACGAACCGATTCTTCAGGCAAATTGGCAATACCATATACGTCAATGAATTTATATATTTTCGATTATCATGTGTCGGTAAACAGAGTGAACTTCGGAGGAATTCTCCGAAAGGCACTCTCTAACTGGTACCTGACATCTATCGAGAATTCTATTACGGATTAACGGAAACAAGTTGCCGAGTTGCGTGACTATACATAGGAAAAATGGAAAAGAAAAGCGTTTCTCAATGCCAAAAGGAGCAAATGATAGAGGTTTAGGACCTGTTGCACTAGCAAATGCCATGTCCGGCGACTCCAACACCACCTCGAATTGAAACCGGAGGGCCATGCGAGTAGCTGTGGCTTACCAGATGGAAATCCAGAAATAAAACAATTACTGTTATATCATCGTGAAAATGTCTCCTCACACCACGGTCGATTTTTTTCAAGTCCGAATATCTCATTTCTCTCTTCTTTGCTGCTTCACGGAGAGCGGCTTTGACAAGCTTCCTGGCAATACCCTGTGTAAGCATTCTCTTATAAGTTAATCCCAAGGCAACACAACTATCGGAAAAACTTCCGAGTTCTGAGCGAACTCAACATATTACTCAATCATAAAAAAGGTCTAGTTTAGGAAAATGCTGACAGTTAACTCGTTACAAGGGACTGTTCTAGTCCAACTTACTCGGGCTCTGGGGTGTACGTTCATACGAGTAAAGCCTGACTTGGAGAATTATATCTCTATACCAATATCCAGATATGAATTGGACACAAATGTAGACACAAGCACTTTAGGTAAAATGAAGAATCGGACCAGTACGGTTCTAGTCTGATGAAAAGAAAATCGCAAAAAGAATTCGTACATTACGTGGACACGTGTTGACAATGTCAACGGCCTCCTGATTGCTAAGGTGTTCCCACAGACCATCTGATGCAAAAATAAGAAAATGATCTTCAGGGTCAATTTTATGCACTAATATTGCCGGATCAGCTCTAAGGATTGGTTTATCAAATGATTCGGGAACTCTAAACTTCGGCAATAGAGGTTCTCTGTTGAACTCCGCATTCTTTAGATAAGCATCACCAATGGATCTGGAAATCTGTCACAAATTAAAACGTTGGTTAACAAACTATAAATATGCTGGAATCTCGAAATCAAAATGACAAACACTCGTATTGGTATTTTCGGAAACTTCATATTCAACAGTGTAACATGGATACCTCAATCGAAAATGAAGAGCCGGAGCAATATAGGTGAAAACAACAAAATATCAACAAATTTAGAGAAATATCCCACAAACACAATGAACTACCTGTATGATACCCTTCACACGCCATACTGTGTGCTTTAGAACCACAATCTGCGGATCATCGGGATGTAATGATTGCAACTCTTCCCGCACAGATTCGAGACTTGCATTGTGATCGGATGATAACTGAACTGCCTTGACCTCTTTAAAGTCGTTATCCAGTCTCCCTAAGACCACCCGAGAATCTCCTGCATTCGCAATGTATAGCATTCCTCTACAGATTATTCCTACCAAACAACATGAACCGACAGAAGCCATCTGCGGGTCATTTAGCCAGTGCTTCCTAACAAGAGCAAGAAAATCCTCCTCGGTAGCTAAAAACGCTTTGTTGATTACATCCGCTGACATTCCGTTATTCTCGGTTGTAAACTCTGCACCATAATAGGTATCAAATCAGTAAACACGGCATCATTCAAGGTGCACGGTCTGGTGTTTTATGTATTATGACTAATGAATACAAGTTTCCAAGACAACCGGTTGAAATGAGCCAAGATGCCACTCATCAAACATTTTTTTTTTGATAGAAACCACTCATCAAACATCAAACTCTATTCAAATTAAAGTGGACAACATAGCAAGTTTTGATGAAATTTGGCATAGAGCAGAAAGAATAACATACTCTTGATATAGCTGAAAAGGTGTTCATTTATAAACCTAGCAGCCACCGGGCCTCCATGACCGTCGTAAACTCCAACGAACGTCCCATAAGGCCCTGTTTCAAATAAGCTCAAGGGACCTGATTCGAGTTGGCTAGTGTCTTCCAATAGATTGTTTGCTTGAATTACCGCCATCGAAAACTCACCGGCAACATGTTCTCCGGAATCTTTATACCACAACAACCCGTCAACCCTACCATCATCATTGCTACTACTAGATGCTTCACCCTCAACAGAAGAAGGCCTCCAGCAGGGCGGCATCATTCGCATTAATGACCCCGATACCATAACTTACATATTCTAACCCAAATGACCCGGCAATCAATTTTTTTCATAAAATCAACACTGGCAACTCTATCGACCCTAAGACTTTGCTCCGGTTTTTCTTGATTTCCAAATACACAACCAAAGTTTCAGAATTCAATCATGCATTGACAAACGCAGATAACATCAATCTGCAAAATTCAGACAATGAAAACTTTGTCAAACAATCATCAAAATATATCTTAAAAACATTGAAGACAGAGACATGAACATGAAGTCATGACAGAAATTCCACACCTCTAATCTATAAGACCATCAAAATGAAAACAAACTGATAGGTTTGACCATAGAATACAATAACCGTTGTTTGTGACTCAAATTCCGTTTGATCCGGCTTGAAGAGTTCACAGCACAACCAAGAAAATGGGATCTGTGGGGATGCAGAGGCTCTCAGGCCGATCCGCAAATTGAATCCAACCACAAAAATCTTGTCATTTCTCCTTTTTGTCCATGGTTTTTACTTATCAAATCATCTTATTTCTTATTGTTTTACGATCATGTACTCGCAGACACCAAAACGAAACAGAGATTAAACAACCAAAACAAGAAATTTTGAACAACATCAAAGAAATTCAGACACCAATCGATTTGAAACTGAGATTAAAACCCCATTTTGTCACCTCATTAAATGCATACAGGGATGGACACCATCCTGAAAATTTCAAATTATCATATCATTTATATATTTTCTTTATATTTTCTATTGAAAATCTATTTTCACCCTGCCCTAAAATTTTAAAAATTCGTCCTCTAGCGTAAAATACTGTGATCGTCCATGCACAACAACATAACTTTGAAACAAACACAAGAAATTTTCAGACACCAACCAATCTGCAAACTAAAAGCATGAAAGAAATTTCAAATAGATACCCATCACCTTAAGAACACCAGCAAAATATAAACAGCAATCATTATGAAGAAAGATCCGACGGCAATTTTCTTCTTACATACCTTATGAAACAGTGGAGAACATTGCATGATCTCTTCAGTTACAAGCCTGTCGATGAAGAATCAAAAGACCCATTATTTTGAAGGATTAAATAAACAAAACAATCACATGAAAACCCCCAAAACAAAACAAAACAAAGGCTGTAAGAAAGGTTGAGAGGGAGATTTGACAGAGAAAAAACAGTTAACAAAAAACAAATCTCTGAGTTTCGGAAACCACCACAACAAGGTGGCCTTTTCTTGCTTTCTTTCTTTTTTGATGGGTTTTTCCGTTGGATTTTTTTTTTAGATTTTATTTTCTAATTCATTGGTTGAAGGGGGTTTTGACTTTGACCTGTTGGCTCTAACGATGAACAAACCAACATTTTAGGCAACTTTTACTCATCTGTCTTTCTCCTGTTTTTAGCAAACAGCTGCAAACGATTGTCTCTATCCTTATCGGCTTTGGCTTTTGAGAATTACTTTGAATTTCTTCCCCCTTTTTTTTCATTTTCATGGTTTGGTCATCCAATTGATGTCTAGTTTGGTTATTTTAATCATAAAAAATTAGTGGATTTACGAATATAAATTAATACAGAGTTGGTTGAATTATTCTTGAACCATTTATTTATGTTTATTTATTAAATTAAATACATATATTTATGCACGAATCAATTTATTTCAATAGTCAATAGAATTATTATTGTTTTTAAAAATTATGAGTTTAAGCATCAACGGTTATAAGAATAATTGAACATTCATTGTCAATGAGAATATTTTATAACAAATATTACTTTATAATCACCTTAGCTTATTTAAAAATTAAACATATTTGTTTATTAACTAGTTAATGGTTACTAATATTACATATTTGTAATAAATTGGTCGAGTAATATTATATATTTGTAATAAATCGATCACTCGAGGTTAACAAATAGTTAAAACATCTAACAATAGTTAAGTTACTTCGCATTATTTTTATGACTTTAACTGAAAATTGCTAACTCAACAACATTATTTCTTGTGGTATGACTTTATAACAAAGAAAGAACACCAAGTAAAATTATTTAAATTAAACCGGCCGGTCCAAGTAAAATTTCATCTGGTTTTATGAGATGAAAACCAACTACATATACTTTGTATGACTTTCAATCTATAACAGAATCAAAACCATCCCTTTCCAACTTCTTTCCTCACCCAACACTTCTACCAATAAAAACAAAGAAAAGCAACCTCGAAGAACATAAATTCAATAGTATGAAACATGTATAAAGCTATGAACAACATGTTCAGCCACCCCATGAAACCATAACCGACCTTTGTGCCGGTCATTCAAGGAGGAATTCAAGACTCAAATCCGGGCTGCCGAGAAGGTTAAACGTTTTGTTGTTGCTTAAGGCGTCTTTCAAGATGGTGATTTGGCCTTCCTTTAAAAGTACATCCTCATCCAAAGCTTCTATCTTCTTTTTCAATACGACGACTTCCGAGTTTAATAGCATGTTCTTCTCACCATATTGCTTCACCTCTTCCCACATCAAATCTCTTTCTTCGGAAACCTTTGGTAATATCCCCCTCAAGATCGTTAGTTCCTTGACCGATTCTTGCAAATCGTTCTGAAGACGGCTTATGTTATCGTCTTTCTTTAGCATCTGTACACTTCGAAAGCAAATAATTAGCCAAATATGTTCTATAAGCTTTCATAAGGGTGTCTAATTGCCTTATTGTGGAGGGTAAGGCAACACTGCAATGGCACAGGAACTGGAGTGTACCACAAGCATCAAGCAGCTACATGTATGCACTTCAAACTCTAAGATGCATTGTCCCGTGCTTGTCACAAAAATAATTCGATTTCCTGGCACATACTCTCCCGATTATAGTAATTTCTTTCACACATGTTATTCACATGCAAGATAAGAATAAAGATTCCATACACGCATACGACAAACATGTAACATTCAAAGATCAAAAGCTACCTGCAGTTCAAGATCCTTCTACCTGCGGGTGAGGCAGGAAATGTTGTCCATTGCATTTTGTACTTCACATCTAAGGATGTCGTTACCTCTTACAGATGCTCCCACCTCAGCTTGCAACCATTCAACTTCAAGCTCTTTCGAATATAGCTCTTCTCTCAACAAATTTGTCAGCAATGATTCTGATTTAAGCTCTGTTCTTAGAACCTCCTAAAAGGTGTACAGTGTCACCAAAGCAGTGAGTATGAACTTAAAAGATCATATTAGATCCTCAATTGAAATGTAAGAACAAGTTTGATGAATGAACATACTTGAAAAGTTAATGAGCATTGAAAAATGATTCAATCTATATTAGCTTAAACTGTCGATTTCACGAAGCTTACCTCAGAAGATTGATTGTCGGATTTCATATATTCCGAATGAACCTCTGAGGCAACTGTTGTGGATTTCTCATGCAGCAAAGTGGATATTATCTGCAAACTCCTTGTTAGGCTTTCAATTCCACGTCTAAAGCATTGCACCTTCATATCGGATTCAACAATGAATTGACCATCAAGACCCTGCTGAGTTTCTTGAAGCTGACTAGCTTTTCCTTTGATGAACTCGATTAACTTGGAAGACAAGTGGATGCTCTCATTAAGCATAGACAGTCCTTGGTCCTGCAAACAGCTTACACGATTCTTCATTTCCTTGTCAAGCTTGAAGGTTAAGGCTCCAACGTCTTTTCGATTACCTTTTAAGCGGTTCAGTAAATCGATATTCTCATGTCGAAGAGAATCAACTTCATGTCTACAAGACTCCACTTCCCTTCTTAATGACAATTCTACTCCAGTCAACCTCATTTGCTCCATTTGAAAAAATTTCACCCGATTTTCATTTTTTCCCATGGAACGCTCCTGACCATAACCTTCTCGCAACCCTTCAATTGTTTTCTCTTGCTCACTGCAGGTTCGGAATAATCTGGCAGTGGACTTCTGCAACTCCTTGCACTCCTTATCTTTTTCTTCAAAATTTCTTCTAATGCAATCAGTATCTTCTATTGCTGCTTGATGCTTCTCTTGCAATTGGGAGAGGGTTTGCCTGAGATCTTCATTCTCATCATTCAGTGTTTCGACCCTTCTAGTAAACTCTTTAAGTTGTTCTGCGGAATAAGTCATCATGCTTCTGTTTTCAAATTCCTTTTCATTCAAGGAAGATACTTCTCTCTGAAGAGATACATTTTGCTCCGCAAGCTCTCTAACTCGTTCACGAAGTCTTTGCTCTTCTGACCGATACTTCTTAAGCTTAGATGACCAATTGCTCGACCTTCTATCCAACTCCTTTTCCAATCCCAACTGTATCTCATGTTTCTCCGTCTCGAGTTTTTTTGTCCGTGACTCCAGTTCTTCCCTTGTCATTCTCATTTCTTCTTTAGCACGGCCTCTCTCTGCAATTCTACTGTAGAAGTTTCGAAACCTCAAGTGCCAGGTCTATTTTGTCCTCTGAAAGACGTCTAATGGTCTCAACGAGAGACGAAACATTAAACCCGATGTTACGAAGAAAGCTGTCCTGCTCGAGAGCTTCAGAAAGAATCAAAACTCTCTCCTCAGCTTCTTTTGATCTTCTTTGTAACTCCACATCTGTATCCTCCTGTTTCGGAAGAGTTCAAACCATTAAAACTTCCCCCAAAGAAACAATGTTTCTTGTCCAAGCCAGAGATATCCTCATGATATCCAATATCATTTTCATAAGGATCGTCCATTATATCCAATTTGGACTCCGGGCATCAATTCATGTATCCACCATATACATCTTCAGTGGTGATCGGAATATGAAGATCGAATTCCTTAGAACTTGATCTCGGGACATGAGTCTGCGAAAGCCTCTCAATCACATTCTTTGCGATCATCTGAGGCGATTCACGCCCGAATCCATTTTCCACCCGGTCTCTAGACGAGAACTGAAGACGTGTGCCTTTCGCTTCCCTAAATGAATAGAATTTGTTTCTCTTTGACACTATCTGTAGGAGACGGAGGAGCTGTATATTGATCTCGTGGAGGAAGCCTCCCACCACCATTTCCGAGATTATTTATTTTAGAACTGTTCTTGGACTTACTGCTTTCCTGCAGCTGTTCTCCACCGATATATCGGTCCACAACTTTACTTGACACATTGCTAGAGCAAGAGGAAGAGCTTCCTGATGAACCACGCCGCATCCTTGAAGAACTAGTTCTCCTGGAATAAACCACGAGAACAAAGGTGGACTTTTAGATTCATAAATGTAAAAAATGAGGTCTAATCAATAATTTTTATACTCTGTAAACGAGAACAAACACATCAAATGCAGGAATTCCTTACCGAGATGATTGATCATACTGATGATTGGGAGTAATATCAGGAGATCTATTTTGATCATATGAGGAAGGAAAATCTTCTAGTCCCAGACCATCAACAAGAAAGGCTGCTGATGACAAAGAACGACTCCTTCGAAAGCTGGCCGGGCTGTTACTAAAGCTAGGGCTGTCTGGTATTTGCTTTTGAGATTTTTCCAAAGAAACGTCTAGGACTGAGAAAACTGTATTCATCCTTCTCACCTTGTTGATCATTGAACCCACTTTCCAATGTGTTTTCCCAGAAAACTTGCTTGCTGATGGTGAAGGAACAACGGCGTTGGCGTTTCCACTGCTAGAGGAAGATTTGAAGAAAAAGAGTTTCTTCGTCTTTATATATCATCAACAAGGACAACAACCTTTGAAAGAATGGGGAGTCAAAGAACCTGGAGATATAATACACAAGCCATAAAAGTTAGCAAAAAAGAGAGGAAAAAAGACATCAAACACACACAAAAACATCATCAAAACCACTAGAGAATGTGAGGACAATCTATAAAGCAAATACCAGAGAAATAAATCTGGGTTAAGAAAACAAGTGCACAAAATACAACTCATGAAATTCAGAACTGGAATTTATATATATCAGATAGAAAAGAAAGCATATGCAACACTGAGATACCAATCATGAAATAAAAAGTTCTTACACCGATCAAGAAATGAAAGCATATATAAATATGTATACATACATACATACACATATATGCATATAATATCTACATATTAACTATTTTATAACTTTATTTATATAAAATTCTGCAACTTTCAGTTGCTTACTAAGGCCCCGTTTGGTTCATGTAATATTTTTTATTCTTGGGGGAATGTTTTTTTTCCGGGTTAAGATACCCACATTTGGTTTCTCCACATTCCCAAGTATCAGTCAAAAATTAATACCAACAGTGGTATTTTTTTTCTATTTTCCCGGGAATGTTAGTGTTGCGGAAGACGACTATCGGATAGAGCAAAATCGCAACTAATAATTTGAGAAAATAAAAATGAAGATAAAATAGACACAAAATTTACGTGGAAAACCCCTAAATAATATAGGGTAAAAACCACGGGCAACGGTAGAAGAATTTCACTCCAGAAAATAGGAATTACA